GAATATTCGACATACAAGATTATGTGATTGTGTGATTCTCTGCTCTGCAAGGAAGACAGATCGTACTTAGAGAATATTAAAATCTGAATATTCAATATACAAGATAACCTTATTGTCTGCTTCTCTGTTTTATAAGGAAGGTAGACCATGCCTGCAGAATATTGGGATATGAGTACAGAAAGTGTTTGAGTTTCGTGAGGAATCGGAATATGTAATATATTTAGATTTGACATGACCTCCTAACAAGAGACAAGACTAACAGAAATAATATTCACATTGTAAATAACAGCTTGACACTAAAGACTAATCACCAGTACGATTATTTATCTAAATGAAGCAACTCTTTACTGAGCCAACAGAGGCATTTAAAAGGTAAGAACCATTTTTATCCGTTTTCAACGGTCAATTTTTACTAAAAACTGCTTAAACGATAAAAAAGTCATGTCTTGTGAAATTTCTGATTTACAGGCCTTAAAATGCCCCAATGAGTAGACAATATCTGTCTTTAGTAATGCTGAAAATTTTAGGCTTCTAACTGATCAAGCTCATGAGTTATTTATTAATTATTATTAACGGCACACTAATTAACTCCTATCTCGATCAAAAAGGTACGTCAGCCCAAATCCTTTGGAGGTTATGCGTATCTTAGTGGTACGTGTCTACCTTGAAAATATCAGCTCAAACGGATTTAATCACCTAGGAATGTTTCTTCGTTAGTTAGAAAGGATATAGCCACTTTTTGGCAACCTACAACCTAACCTATAGAAAACTTCACAACCTAGTTCTAATCTAGCCTATCCTGTGTTTTTTTGTTTTCATTTTTTTTTCTTTTTTGTTTAAATTTCTTTCTTTTAGTGTATGAATAAAATCACAAAGGTAATACAGTTCAAAATACACCAAAATAGTAAATGAAAAACATTTGAAAGAAAAATAATACATTTGTCAAATCAAATATCATTACAAATAAAGCAAAGAAAGAACGATTGTCTATCAATAATACAAAACACAATCATGAAAGTGGAGTAGTTCTATATACAACAAAATAACCATCATCAAAAACGAAAAAGAACTGTTTTCAAGCCAGATGGTTTGTTTTTCATATCACAGAAAATAATATATTTTATTTACTCCTTCAATACACACATATACACACCGGATGACAAAAAAATACAACACAATTAACTTAAACAGTAGAGGTAGATAAATGAAAAAGAAAAATTTGTCAGGATTCTTTCAAGACTTATCGTTGTTGTTGTTGTTTTTCATGGATAAGCATAAATATTGAGTATATGAAAAAATTATAAAGCTCTAGTCAAATACATTTTAAAGTATTTCAATCATATTTTGGTTTAGTATACTTAATCAAAGTTTCTGGTGATCGATATAGAAACAAAAGTTTGGCAAATAATTGTTCTTCGAGTAATAATAATAAATGTTCTCGTACGAGGTAAATGTCTGATAGTAATTGCCATATTCGATCAACATAGGGTAATTCATCAAACATTATTGTTCGAGATGTTTGTAAAACTGTACGCAATAATCGAGCAACAACAAATACAAACGTTGTATAAATACCAATTATCCTAAAACAAACATGTATATGACAATAGTCTCATTTTATAAGAGAAACAAATGAGATTATTTTTCAATTTTCCTCCCCACTTCTAACTCCAGCACTTATTAGAATTCAATCAAAATTTTTTCTATTCTCAAAAAAACAACAAAATACGTTACACAAAAGAGATTTTACCAGAAAAATAAATAATCTTATAAAAAAAAAAATATAGCTTCATTCTTCAGCCAACATACCGGTAAAAAACAAAAATAAATAACGAAAAATTTCTTATGTAAAAAAATTTTGGAGCATAAAATAATGCACATTATTCTCTTGCAAGTTTAACTTGAGAAACTATGTAATTTTCCGAAATGAGGTTCCCAAGTCATAAATCGGTTTTTGCTTAAAAGTCATAGCTAATTGGTGCGGATGATTTCGAATATGACAATAGGAGCTGTTTTTAAGCCTTGGAGAGCGGATGTTCTAGATACGGTGTTTCATGACCTAAAAACAGCTCCTATTGTCATATTCGAAATCATCAGCACCAATTATTCATGACTTTTAAGCAAAAACTGATGTGTCCCTTGGAGATCTACTCTTGTTAGTATATCATGGATATACTATACTAGGCTGATGCAGTTTGATATTAAAGAAAAAGTACAAATTTTCAATACAGGATGATTTTCTGGTCAAAGAACACATGTGAACAGAATGTCGTAGAAAAGTGAACTTTTAGCCTATCTATATGAAATTAAGGATGGAGATACACAGTATATGTAATATATCGAAAACCAACTGACTTTTGAAACTACAAAGATAAAAAACTACACATTCTCATAATGATGCACAGTATAAAAAAATATCAAAATAAAATGACTATCAAAAGAGAGTATAGTGGAATATTTTTATAGGCAGAACGCTTAACAACGATAAATGACTGCCTGCTGCGCATGGAAAAGGTAGAAAATTATTATTTGACTATTTTGTTTTGATCAGTGAATATGAGTAAAAGACTAGCGGTG